CCCAAACCCAAACCCAAACCCAAACCCAAACCCAAACCCAACCCCAAACCCAAACCCAAACCCTTGATTTATAATTATTAATGCTAGGAATTAGTGTTGTAATTTAATCATGAAATTATACTTTAATATGCCATAGTATTATAACTAGAGCTAAAAAAATTAAAGCAATGGCTTTTTAGTCTAATAGATAAAGAAAAGATAATGATTATTAGATGAGGGGATTAAAATAAGAAGAGAATAAATTTTAAAGATTTCTAAAATTGATTGAATAATAATAACATCACATATGATAGAAAGGTAATGGGGAAAGAAAGATAATCTAAACAGATGAAATTTAGGTATTATTTGCTAATATAAAATATGGGATTTTCTTTCATTTAGTAAATCAATACAATCAAATATAAACCCAAATTTACTTTTATTATCACATATTTTTCAAAGTTCTGATTGATGAAGTGAACATTAAATTAACATTTTTTGTTAATGTTGATTATATTTGTTTTTCTTTGATAGATTACAAATTTATAAAGATTTCTTTTTAATTACTTTTAAGAGCAATATTAATCAGCAGGCATACTTTTCCTTTTGATCAGTTATAAGTGTTTATTATGATTACTTCAATTATTAGTTTTTTAAATTTTGATTAATGAACAATTACCTATTATCTTTATTATTATTAAAGAACTTGATCTTACTTATAATTAATGTTAATCATTTTTTAATTATTAATATATATACAACTAGCTATCATTAATCTCTAATATATTCTTATTATTTTCCATATTTTCCTAATCCTTTTGTTTTTAGTTGAGCTATTACTTTTTCATTGATTTATTTTATAGATTCATGGAAGTATTATTTATATTTTGAATTTTTAGTTGTGAATTCCAGTAAATCTATACTCACATTCATAACAGATTCCTAATAACAAAATGATGCAATAATCGATACAAGAATAATGAAATTAACATCAACCATCTTTTTTTATCTGATTTTCGTTATCAAATTTTCCTATCCATGAATTACTTTATCTTCAAATAATATGATGAAAATTCTAATAGTATTAATTTTAAATCTAATTATCTTCACACCTTGCACATTAAATACCTTTAAAATCTATAGAAACTTAGGAAAAATCTATAGAAACTTAGGAAAAATATTGAAACTTTATTTCTGTAAAATAGTTCAAAATTTCTAATTAAACTTTTAGATGTCTAATCTTGAATTCAAAAACGTAACTAGATAAAGCATCCATTAAAATATTAAACTATCTATTATATAAATTAATAAAATTTTATACAATATTTAAAGTCTAAGATAGAATCCCATTACATTATATAATATTTAGCAATATTTAAATTAGAAATTGTAAAATCATTTAATCTAAAGCTTCAACCATCTTTTATTTTATAAATTTATAATGAAATGAATATTCATTCAATTTATAATTTAATCAAATTATTTAATGAACCTATATATTATTTAATACTCAATTTTTATCTTAATAATCTTACTTTAACCAACTTCAATATTCATCTAAAAACTTTTCTATGATTTTTATGAATTATCGTAATTGTTTTAAAATATTCCATTTTAGAATAATTACAGATATAGATTTCTTGTGGTGGATCCTTAATTTCGGCTTTCAAAATTTATTTGTAGAAACAAATCTGGAATCTTATTACTGTCAATGCTTATCTTAAGACTTAAATTTACTTCAGAACTTTACCATCGATCCTATATTATTAAAAAGATTCTATTTCCAAAATACTCTTCTATTATCATAATTTTGAATCTTTCTTTCTATTATTAAATGAGATTCAGTTATCAAATTCTAACCAAAATTGAGGTTATAAATCAGTTAAAATACCATATTTTTCTTTAGTACTAGCATCAAACTAATAAATCAAATTTTGATCAGACTTTTAGGCTAAAATAATATATCTATTTAATAGTTAATAAGTATAATAAATAGAGTTTTAAAATATTATAAATTGAATATCCTAAATAGATTCTTCAATGTTAATTAAGTTTGATTTGTTTATTTTTTCATAAGCAATAAATTATATTAATTTATCTTGGATTGATTTTAAAGGCATTCAGAAGTAAATGTATCTACATAATAGTAAATATTTAGATGTTAGCAAATTATAGAGATATTAAAATATAAGGCAAATAATTACTAATTTTAAACATTTTAATTAGAATTAAAATAACAAAAGTGTTACATTTATTTAGATGATTAAAAGAATAAACCTTATTAATATTTTTTTGATAAAATTTAATCAAAATTGACAATTCTGCTTAAAATATCTTATGAAATAATTTTATATTTTAATATAACAATTTGAATTAAGAAATTCAGTAATGCTCATAATCAAAAATAACATTATTCTAAAATTTAATTAATAGTAACTCTTTGAAATGAAAATTAAACATCTAATTATATGAATTATTAAGAAATTTAATTACAAGAATTATTAAATAAAGTCATTTCGAAGATTGAATATAACCATATTTATTATTTCTATTATAAAAAAGACTCTTATTTGAGATAGTAAGTGAAATTATTCAATGAAAAACTGTATACTATCAATAAACAGTATATTTTTTTATAATTTTAAGAAAATGATAAAGTAAAACAATTTTACTTGGTAATTAATACAAATAAACTCATTCTTAAGTAAAATCCAGAGTAAAAAGTAGCAGATTTAAGACTAAATATTGATTAAATTCAAACGATTTGTAAGTTATTATACTAATCCATTTCAAGAATGTAAACTAATCCATAAAAATTACAAAATTATAAGTAATAATCTATGGACTAAGAAATTTAAATAAACATAATTAAAGTTAAATTTAGTTTTAATAAGAATTACTTTCTTTTTCTTTGATAATATATTACTTATTTGGCTATTTTTAATTATGATTCAAAAGATGATAAACAATACTTTTTTAATTAAATTTTCTTATATATATTTTATCTAAATTAGTAAAAGTTTATTAAATAGTTAACTAGATAAGTTTTTTATTCATATTTAGGTCTATACTGATTCTTCTATTTGATAAAATGAGAAATTTTATCTTTATTAAAACCAATTATTTTTCTGTTAAAATTCTGTCAATCAATTGCATATTAATTTTAAGTATCAATGATTTTCACTAAATAAAATATTAAATGAATTCTGATAATTTTTTTGAAGATAATTAGATAATCAAAAAAACCAAATGTATAAATACTTTCGATTTTAGACAATGAAAAAAGTAGATAGAGTAGAAATATTGATGGATATTAATATTGTAATTAACATTATGAGGAAATTAACTTCTAGATTGAATACTGTCAAGAAGATAGTATTACATATATTAAGGACGGTTAAATCTTATTAAAGTAATACTTTTTAACTAAGTTCTTAGAGATTGGATAAATGATAACTTTTCAGATTAATAGATCATAACCAACTTTGATTTTCTGAGATATTTATTATGGGATGGTTAATATCATAATAAATAAAAAATTGGCAGATGGACTCCATATTGGAAAGGTAATAGATTAGATGCTGGAGGCATTTATAATGAAGAAGGCTTAAAAATAGGAAAATGGATAGAACCTGTCAATATGTTTGGGGAGTATGTCTAATTATTTAAATTATAGAACTGATAGGGTTAACTTTGTTGGTTTATATAAATAAGGAATAAGAGTACGAAATTGGCAGTATTGTTTATATTACTATCATCATGAAACGAAAGAATTTATTCTCCATTTCAAAGGAGGAGGTTATTTTAATGACTCAGGAAATAAATAAGGAAAATGGATAGAATTAATTGAGGGATTTACAGAGTATTAAAATTAAATACATAATAGTGAATCTGAAATAATAAGTTATGGAGAATATAAAAATGGAAAAAAAATTGGAATATGGGACACATACTTCAATAAAAATCTCCTGTATTCATCAATATTTATTTAAATATCAGTTTTAGTGGATGTTATGACATGAATGGAAGAAAGAATGGATAATGGTAGGAATTGCATTAATACTACAATAAGTTAAAAATTTTAATATTTTTAGAGAATCCACTGTCTATTATACAGGAAATTATAAATAAAATGTAAAATATGGTCATTGGGGGATGGAATTTCCTGATTATAATTTTTTTATTGAAGAATAAGAAGAAGAAGAGAAAACTAAGTTTAGAATAATTAAATTATTATTATAGTTTTGGAGGTAAATATGATAAAAATGGAATTAAAATTGGAAAATGGGTTGAATTTCATGAATAATTTAGGTTATCTTTATATATATAATATAGTAAATCTCAAGTGATATATATTGGAGAATATAAAAAAGGACTCAAATTTGGAGAATGGAATATAGTTGACTAAAATGAAGATGTTATGTATAATCAAATTAAAATAGATAGAGGAAGCGGATCTTATAATAAAAATGGTTAAAAAGATGGAGATTGGAAAGAAATATATTATTCTGAAGCTTCTATCATTTATGAAGGAGAATATAGAAATGGAAAAAGATTTGGAAATTGGAATATTTTAGACGATAATGAGACAATGTAAGAATGCTTTCATAAATTAATTTAGTGGAGGTGGTGAATATGATGATAATGGAATGAAATAAGGATAGTGGACAGAGTTTCATGAATATTTTATAGAGTAAATAATTCATAGTGTAATATATTAGTAATAATCATATATATTGTGAAGGGCAATATTTAAATAATAAAAGAATTGGAAAATGGGAATGTTATTGCACAATTTCATTTGGAATGTATGAAGAAGTGAAAAAAATGTAATTAAAACAGTTTTATTTATAGAGGTTGTGGTGAATATGACAAAAATGGATTAAAAAATGGACATTGGATAGAATTAAGTGATGATTTCTGGATGTAAACATGCTCAATATTCAAGTCTACATAAAATAATTTTTTGTGGAACATATAAAGATGGATTTAGAATAGGTACTTGGGAAATTCATAAATATAAATTATCTAATTAAGAATTTGAGAAAAAGTATTAAAATATATAATTAATTAAAAGAGGAGGAGGAAATTATGATGAGAATGGAAGAAAGCATGGAATATGGATAGATGTCAGCACTGATATTTATAGGTTAAAGAATTAATTATAATTTTTAGGAATGATCTGATATTCATTAAAGGAGAGTATATTAATGGAAAAAAGAATGGAGAATTCATATAAACATTCTGATGTTCTAATTTACAAAATAAATATTTATTATTTTTATTATAAAATACAAATTAAAAGATCAAAAAATGAATGTTACTTATGAATGACTTTAAGAAAATTAGAAATTGTATTTTAATAATTATTACAATCCTTGATAATTGTTAAATCCTTAGAAATCACTATAATTTATTATGATAAAAACTTAGCCATCCTTTTTCGGATCCATAAATATTCTTAAACAATTTAAAAAAAGAATATATAAAATTATATGATATTCGTTCATATCACTTTTAATTCAGCATTTATCTTTAAAGAAGTTTATTAAAATAATCTAATAATTATAATTTGGGTTTATTTTTAAAGAAGGTTATCAAAAAAAATCTATAAAAATATATACATAACTTAATAGATTCTAATAGACTTGGTGTGAATATAATGAAAGATGGCATACAACAGGGAAAATGGTTTGATTTAATATAAGATTTTGATGAGTTTAATTATTTCATATTTAGTGATTGATAATTTTATCAGTTTTTGTGACTATTATTACGAAAAAAAATAAAGAGTTTGGAATGCATGAATGTAAGGATTAGATTATAATACTAAATATCAACATTAAATGATGAATTTTTTAAAGCTAATAACATTAAATTGAGCAGCTAATTTGATCTATCAGGTTTATAAAAAATAATGATATAAGCACTTTTGAAATCATCTTCTCTTTTTATTAACATCAAAACATACTCCTTATAAATAATTCGAAAAATAGTTTGAGTTCATTTATTTTCTATTTCAATCTTTAATTTTAGTAAAAGTAATAGACAAAACGAATGTAATATAAATAGGAGAATATTAAAAAGGAATTAAATAAAGTGTATGGGAAACATTTTTAAACAAAAACTAGGGATTAGAACAAATATACATCATTATTTCACTTTTATATTTAGTATATACAGAGAAGATAGATTTTTATTTAAATTCTAATTATAATCAATATAATGAATTAGAATTTTAGTAATAGTTCAGAATTTAAAATATCTAGGAATTTGGATTTTTAGTGATGTTAAAATTCTGTAATATTGAAAATACCTAAAGTGAACAATAAAATACTTATTGTTTTAATTCTGTGGATCTCTAAAGCTTATAATTGGGAACTTAAACTTCAACTTTGTTAGACATTGATTCTTCCTGATATCATTTACTTTAATATGAATGCATCTAAACCTATATGTTGGATTTAAAAGATTCCTTCATAAATTTGGTATAAACTTATAATATAATAAAATATCCCTAAATTTTACACAGCATTTAAGAAATTTAATTAATAAAAAACCCTTTTGCATCTTTTCTGTTGTTAATTCATTTTCTAATACATGATGAGCCAAAAGATAAATAAAAAAAAACTTTGCATTTTGGTTCAATTAAATTATAAATTTCAATTCTAAATCGGTTATTTCAAGTCTTATAAAAACTTATAAACAAACATTAATATCCAATCAACTTGTTAATCATTTAATTTAAAATTTAAATATTACTTAATATTACTCAATTATATTATAAAATATCACTGATTAATTTAATAAAATAATATTATAATCTAATATACTGCTTATTAAATATATAAAAATGATTTATTCATCTTTAGCCAAATCAAAATTTGAAATCGAATATTTTACCTTCTTACAGATAATAATTCTAATCTGAAAGTAATATATATGAAAGTTCAAATTTAATTCATTATAATTTCTCCAAGTTTTCAAATTTCATCTATCAAAGTATCTGAAGTGAATATAAAATATAGTATTAATTTATTAGATTCGTTGTGGCAATTAGAATTGGAAACTCAACTTAAAGAGTTTATTAAATAACTAAAACAGTTATCTTAAAAATAAAAATACCTTTTATTCTTGAGCATTGGATTTTTTTTCAAGTGATTATGAATATCTTACTAATAAGAAATTGATATAGTATTTGTCACATTTATTTATAGTCTTTAAATGTAAAATTTAATCTATTTTTAATTTTCTCAGAAACATGGAAAATACACCTAGGATTTTCTAAATTACATAAGATACTTGAAGAAGTAACTTTATTCTTTAAAATTTATATTATAGTCGATTACAAGAGGTTTCACGTTAAAATAGTTATCTTTGTAGGTGATTTATCCATTTATATTATTATCACAGCCAACATAGATTGAATCTTAATCAATCTCTGATCTTTCTATCTAAAGTTTCTTAGGGTAACAACAACTTACTTCTAATCAAGATTCTTAGTAGGAATTTGCTAGTTTGAGTAACTATGGAAATTTCAATATTAAAAAAAGTAATAAAATAGATCATAAAAATTAAGTTATTACTTATTATATTCAATGTCCTTAATTATTTCTATTGTTATTTTGTATTATAAGTATTGACTATTGTTTGTGTGTGCTCTAATTAAATTCATTCAAATATTCAAAATCAATTGTTCAGACTTTACATGATTATAAAATTAAAATTGAACATTTATTATATATTTTCATTACTCTTTATATCTCCTAATCTGTATTATATTTGATTTATCATCCCAAGTGATCGAATACTCTCCATCATCACTCATTACTCCATATAAAGAATTAATTCCAAAATGAATAGATTATTCAGTTCGAAACTCTCCATTTTATTATTTCCTTATCAAATTAACATATTCTCCATTCTTACTCACAAGAATACATTTTGAATTTATATATTGCTTAGGAAATCTTGAAACATTATCTTTTCCACTTTTTATTGTAATATCTCTAATCTTGGTAAACTATTTATTGTTAGGGTTCATCTCAAAAACAGATATTTATTCTTTATCTCTTTATGAGAATGTGAACATATTATTATCTATAAAACATACTCGATATCCATACTATTCAGTTCCACTCTGTATTCTATCCTAATTGTTCTATTATTATTATATTTTAATCATTTCCACATGAGACAACTCTATTTTATTATTAATTTAAACTTAATCCTAATATGCGATTAGAATGATCATCTATTGTTTATAAACACATCCATTCATTCTTTTTTATCCAAAATTCAATAGTTTTATCTTCACTCCTTGATATAATTAGATCTTCATTATTATTTACTACCAAACATTAGATCGAATTATTATGTCCATTTAATATTTATTAATAACTCCATAAGTTTTTAATATTTCCATATTATTATAGATTTATCACGACTTCCAGATATAAATTATTTAGATTTCTTCATGAAATTTAAATTAAAGACAGCCACTAATGTTGAACAATCTTTATCGATAGCTAAAGCAAAACATAATTCACTTTATGAAAATTAACATTCTTCAACTATTTAATAATTGAAAGATTTGAAATTCGATTGATGACTAGATTAAATAATTTCTGATGATGGAATTTTTATTTTAGTATTCAATGATTATATTTCTTAATTTTTTGTTATATATTAATTTATTCTTATTAATCATTAAGAGTAAATTTCTTAGAACCTAATTCTAAACACACTAACAGTTCCATACAATTATCATATCCAACTTTTAATTTGGAATTAAATTTTGAACTCCAAGAAAAATTGGTTTTTTAAATTTCTTAAATTTATAATGTAGTATCAACTTTATTCTAATTTAAAAATATAATTTCAAATTCTTCGAAAAAACTATATTGAGTATAAGATGATCGTTTTTATTTTAGATTTTTAATCCATTCAATTATTATAGCAATCAATTAGTCTAATTATTAGAGTAAATGTGATTTAACAATATTATTTAATGATTCAATTAATTTGAATTAGTTCTAAATGATATTTTCTACTGTTTCCATCTCTTTATCTATTTTTCTTCAATTTCTTAAATAACTTTCTTTAATCCAACCATTTTATAATCTATGTATGTATTTTCTAAACATTCTGTGCACATAAGTCTCTGATTTCTAGATAATTTTGGATCAAGTGCAATTGTAACAACTGGTAGCTAAATTCCTTTAGAGCAACACAAATCTTATTGATTTTCTATCATTTTTGGTTTATACATTTAATTAAAAAAAAAATTTTTTTTGGAATTAATTCACATTTTATTGCATATTTTTAGTAGTTTAAATAAAAAAGTATATTCTACTTTTTTAATGCTTTCCAGAAAGAAAAGGTTTTCCTCTATGTTAATTCATTTTTGATTTTTTTTATAATAATAAACAAAAAGGGGATAAGTGAATGGATCCATGAACTCGTCCCTAAACGATTAATTAACTACATAATTTGCGATTTGATTAAATCTATTGATAAATTTTAATACTACCTTACTTCTTAAATGAATATCTTCTATAAAAGTGATGTATATACAAATTCACAATTTTTTATCATTATTATGTCCTATATAATACAATTTTTGTAATTAAGTTTACCCACTTTCATTTTAGTTTAAATCTACAATTTTTGATTGCAATTTACTAATCCTTATTTATTTGGAATGTTATTCAATGCAAATAGGGTATAAAAAAATAATTATTGAATATCTCTTCTTCTTTATATACCTGACTCTAGCAATTTTAAAGGTTAATTTACTATCTATTATCACTCATTAAAAATCTTTATTTAAATTTAATATATAAGATCTGCTTCCTAATTAATTGTCCTTTTCTAATCCAGAGAATGAATCCTTATATTTTCTTTAATTATATGTTAATTTTATTAACAATTTATTTAATTCTCTAGGTTCCAATTCTCATTCATCAACTATATAATTGGCATTGTAAAATGAAGATTCTATTAATCAATTTTTTTTGGATCTGATTGATGTTAGTTAAAATGAATTCTTATTCTTATAAATCCTTTTGGTAATTTTTTCAATACTACTGATGTGTTATAATTTAGCCCTCAACTATTTAAAATATCTAAAACAAAATTAAGTAGATAATAATCTAATTTACGATTATTAAATTATCAAGATACAAATTGCTTTTTGTTTTTTTTGTAGAATACTAATTTATAATAGAGAAAAGTTGTAGATCATTTAAGAAACCATTGTGATGCAATTTGATTGAAAAATCAAAAAATATTGTAAGGTCAAAATTAGGCTATAGAGAGATTCCTAATTGAAATAAATCTATTTTATTATATAAAGTCTCATCAGTCAAAAATAATGTTGATTATATAAAACTAGTTACAACAAATGCTTGCATAGTATGAATTAATGATAGAATTGCTGCAATCAATTGGAACTCCATACTATCTAACTACCATAATTCAAAATCAAAAAGCTCATCTAATGGAGTTTTCATAACCAAATTTAATTTGACTAAACTTGAATAAAATCAGAAAAGAAATTTACATAAGTCTCTCTCTATAAAACCATAAATTACTTGCCCTTCATTCTTTCCAAATTATGCTTAATAATTTGAGTTGCATTCGCAAATACTTTAAACCATACATAATTTCAAGTATTTAATGTGATCTTTAATATTAATATTGAAGAAGCATAAAATTTTTAGATTTTGAGATTTATATTAATTACCACATTATCTATAATTCTTAAAATATAGATAATATTCATAAAAAATTTAAACATATATTTTTAAAATAAAAGATAACTATATTTTTAATCAATATTTTGTAGAATAATCATTTGTGAATCAATAATAATTATACTTTATATATTCTTTCTGGTTAAAGCATAATTCAAATCATTGTTATCAAACATTTTGATTTATGGAATTATACATCAAAATTACAAATACGTTTTTGTATAAAAGTGCATTCATTCATTTTTCAATAATTTTCTTAATTCCTTATTTCTATCAATTATTCAACTAAATATTAACATAACTTTCTGAATTAGTAGGAGATAATATAAATTTAAAAAAATTCAAATTAAAACCTTTATTGGATACTTACTAGCAAATAAAAGAAAAAGATTTATCAATACTCCAAAATTTAATTTTCCTGTTACCCTCAAAATGAAGAGATCCTCTTTTATGTAGTTAATTACTAAAAAATTAATGGTTGTTCTTTTGATTTGATAAACTAATTTTGGATTTTATATGAGAATGCTTGATCATATGATAATATAAAAGCAAAGTTAGGCTGTAATAAATTATTCTTTACTTCCTATAAAATCATATGTAACCAATAAGCCAATTCTGTGAATCATATCATCATAATTTTAGCTTATAATTCATAATCTAAATTATTGATTTTTTATGATATAACCAATAATTGCTAAATTTTTTTAGTTGTTGTATTTCAATTTAATAACAGAAAAATATTAAAATGAAGAATCTTTCAAAAAACTACTATTTTTTCATATTATATATTAGATATAACTAAAGGATAATATATTAAATTTAATCTTTATAAATTGATTATAAAATCTAAGTATTAATTTAATTAGAAATTAAATTAAAAAGATTAGAAAAAATCTACTGAAATAAATATAAATTAATAACGACAAATTGGGAAATTCTTTAAGTGAAGTATCTTATAAAATCAGGATCACTCAAATATTTGCATTTTTTAAGAGATAAATCTAGCATTTTTAACAGAATCTAATTAATCTATAGTGATTATAAATGTTTAAGAATTACAATCTAATTTTATCAAAAGGTAAAGTATATTTAAATATATAGATAAAAGTATTCTCAATTTTTACATCAAAATTAATTCACTGTAATAATTTATCAAAATCATTAATAATTAAATAGATGATTAAAAAACATTAAATAATGGTTAATTAATAATTACATAAAATATTTATGAGAGATGAATTTAAATTATTAAGAAATATAATTTAATATTTCTCAATTTATTAATTATTTATTTACTTAAAACAATTTCATTAACTAATTTATATATTATTAATCAAAGAATTTATGAAATATAAATAAAACATGGTTATTTAAGAGAATGAATTAATATGAATAATTGTAATATATTTTAATAGATGATGATAA